TCTTCCACTGCATCCTCAATTTCAGTAATCCTCCCGTTCATTAAGGGGGGTTCTTATACTGGAAGTACTCAACTTACAACTATGCAATGTTGCACAGTGGCACAATGATTGTTCTTTGAAAACTGGAAAAACTTTTAAAACAATTTAATTCTGTAGCTTAGTTTTATTTTGGTAAACAAATGATTTCCTATACAGCAATCTGATCACCCAAATCTGCTTAATTCTTGAGTATTAGAGAAATATTTGCCATAATTGTAGTCTGCTTATACATTTCAAATACACTATCTGTATAATAGTGTTTGTCTAACCACTATTGTACAAACACTAATGTATATTTACATATACAAATAGTAATGTATTTGTCAAATATATTATCTATAATAGTGATTATACAATAGTAATGTATATTTACATGTACAAATAGTAATGTACATTTATTTATTTGTCAGGTGTAAACCTTCCTAGCCTTTTGCCTGAAGGACAGCCAGCAAGTATCTCTTGTCCACTACGTATCCAATCTAAGTATACTGTGACTTGGTACGGAAATGATAGTGATATACCCATACCTATGGATAACTACTCCCGGGTCCATCAGCAAGGAAACTTGCTTTGGTTTCATCCTATAAAACTTGAAGATTCTGGAATGTATCAATGTGTTTAGTAAGTTTGTTTATTCATTCATTGCTTTTATATCTCCCATTTTCTGTGGGAGATTAAGGTTATACACCATAAGAACAACTCTAAGATAGAGACCGAGCCAAGTGAATGGCCTAATGATCCCCATGAACTCTGTGGACAAGTGGGGACATAACTTGATCCCAGTCCAACATCATAATTACTGTAGTACTTTACACTGGTTGTAGTGGTTGGAAAATGTATCAGATTTATAACATGATTGAAGATAGTTCAATAAGGAGAAAAAAATCTAACATTAAGATTTTGACCATTTTTATTTATACTTATTTTTAGCTTTAATTGTGCAACATTTGAATTCAAACAAGGCTTGGTAGAACATAAAAATGGCTATGGCTCTATAATAGTTTTCATGCTTACATGAGAGTAAACTCTACTGAATGATTTGAATCTTATTTCTGGCTAAATATGACCTGTATTGAGCAATATTTATTATACATTCAATTATATATATTTTTCCCCCTAAAAATACATGTATTCTGGTAACTAACAAATTAAATATAAGAAATTAAATTGGTTCAAAAGGTTGTTTTATGCTGTAGTGTATCTTGGTCCAATATCTGCTCATATTTTCAGAAGTGTATCCAACTCTTATGTTGCTGTATTTCCTCCTAAATATTAAATTATAATTTGATGCCAATCACTATCTTTGTGGATGCATATACAGGTAGCTCATTTAACAATGATTCAAAGTTATAAAGGCCTTGGAAAAAGTGCTTTACGACCTGTACTCTCACTTACGACTGTTGCAAACCATCACATCACACACCGTGGTCACGTGATCGCGATTTGCGACCTTTTTTATGGTGGTTGTTAAGTGAATCACTGTGGTTATTGGGCGAATCATGTGGTGGTTAACTGAATCATGTGGTTGTTAAGTAACTTCTGCCAAAAAATGTCCATTGGGGAAGCTGGATTCACTTAATGACTACATGATTCACTTAATGACTACATAATTCATTTAATGACTACATAATTCACTTAACGACCATCATAAAATGGTAATAAAATTGGGCTTGGTCAGGTGGTTACTCGCTTAATGACTGCCCTGCTTAATGACCAACTTTCCAGTCCCTCTTGTGGTTGTGAAGTGAAGACTACCTGTATTGTATAATGGATAACTGAAGCACTGATATTCTTTTGTTATTGCAGTAATTCAACAAGATCTAAAAAAAAACTAATTGTGCTTGGGAATAGTGTTGGACTGTGTTTTAATAGAGAAATAGTTTATATGCAAAAACTTTCATTGCATTACAATGGGAAGCTGACTTGTCCAGATCTTCAAAATTTCAGAAATTATGAAAATGCTCCACTTATTTCACAATGGTATAAGGTAAGGGTGTGAGTATTTATATCATAACTTTAGTATTAAACATTGGTATTTAGCCTCCCAGCCCCTCACCATCTTTGTCACTCTCTTGTTTCCACTTCCTCAGCATTCATTTTGAATTTGTCAACAACTGCAAATCCATCTGTTATTGGGACCATCCATTCCATATTGTTCCATTTTATTAAGAAAGTGACTCACCAACTGTGTCAAAAACCTTACAAAAGTCTAAGTACACTATATATACAGCATTTCCTTGGTCTACTAATCTAGCCATTTTGTCAAAAAAAGCAAATAAGGTTTGTCTGGCGTGACCTGTTTTTAACAAACTCATGTTGTCTTCTAACAAGCACCTTATTTCTTTCTAAGTGCTTGCAAACCCTCTGTTTGATAACCTTTCCTAAGATTTTTCCAGGTACTGATGCCAAACTGTTTGATCTGCAGTTTCCTAGATCTACTTTTTTCCCCTTTTTGAAGATGGGAACAACATTAGCACTTATCCAATCTTTTGGCACTTTTTCTGTACTCCAGGAGGTCTCGAAGATACAGTCAGTAATTCTGAGATCATGTTCATGTTTAGCACATTTAGCACCTTGGGGTGCAATCTATCTGGTCTCAGAGACTTAAATGAATTCAAAATAGGTAGGTGTTCTCTCACCAATTCTTACCTGTTTTGACCTCCATTTTCTTCTCTCCCCTCCCCCCCCCCACAAGGTATGGCTTCTCATAGGTTGGGCCACTTTTTCCTTTTGCAAAAAGCAGAGGCAAAATAGGAATTCTCTATGCAACCACACTGATTTCATTGGGTGCCTTCCATTTTTCTATTCCTCTGGTATTGCATGTGTTTGGATGTTTGTTTATTTATTGTCTCATATTTTAGAATTTTTCAACTTGCCTGAATTATTCTTCTAGAATGAAGATAATCTTTCCAATTGTTTAGGAGCCAGTTTCTCTGTCTTCCTTTAAGTTGTTCTTCCTGCTTGGCTTCAATTAACAGTTTTTGAGAGCAGCTCCAACATGAACCCTAAATATGCTTTCAGGTCCCTGCAATGCTAATATCAAGACACTGAGTATTTCTTTTTCTTCTTTGGGCAAGATTACAAAGTGACTCATTTTCTTTAATTTCCACCATTTCCCAGTGTCTATCTTATTCTGCCATATGTTGTCCATCTTTTTATAATTATTTCGTGTCTTCTAGTAAGTAATTTAAATCTGTTTTAGTTGCTGTTATTACTTTTGAATATCTGTTGGGCTGTTTTTGTCTCTTGGAACAAATGTTCCATCCATTCAATGTTATTTTTAGCTATGAGTTATTTCAGTCAACTTTCTTCCTCTTCTGCCTATCTTTCTCAGGTATCATCTCTCCAGATTTCAAATTAACAGATATTTGCCAAAAGCTGGGCCTAACTATTTTCCGTGCAATAGTCAGGCTCTGAGAACGGGCTGGTATGAATTCTAAATAGTTTCAAGCTTTATCTCAAATATGCTGTCTGTTACATTCCTTTCTCTCTGTCTCCACCATAATAATCTTCCCATTTCTCCTTCATAATATGGAATCAAAACGCAGGACTCAGATCCAAAATAATCAAGGCTTCACTGCAGTGTTTATTAGACAGTACATGTTGGAGGGGGACCCCACCAAGGGATAGTGAGAGACACTCCCTGCAGACAAAAGAGATGCTCTGATATCAAAACGCAGGACTCAGATCCAAAATAATCAAGGCTTCACTGCAGTGTTTATTAGACAGTACATGTTGGAGGGGGACCCCACCAAGGGATAGTGAGAGACACTCCCTGCAGACAAAAGAGATGCTCTGATATTTATACATTTCAGGAAAGGGAAAGGGAAAAGGATGCATCATACATATTCATATGATGATGCAGGCATACACAAGTAAGGAATAGATGTCAAGTTACTTTCTGCCCCTCTGTTATCTACTACCTACAAGGAATACAATAGCCTTACTGAAAAGAGGGAACAAATCAGTTCAAGGTGCCATCTTCCTTCAAGACAGATGCTTCGGTAGTTCAGAGCAGCTCCAAGGTTGCTGCAAATTCCTTTATGTTTCAATTTTATTAAAGTGCTCCCATTCACCTGAAGCCTCTAGACATTTACTTTCTTCACCCAAAAAATTATTTTCCCCACAATAATAATCTTCCCATTTCCCTACAATTACTGTTCTCCAACTGATATGTTTATTTGGAATATTTAGAAAATAATTACTGCCCTGGTACACAGCATTTGGGACCAGCATCTGCACTACCCTGCCATTGTAGCCATTAACT